CGTGGCACCCGGGGACCGGCAGGCCTCACAGACCGGGTGGGTGTGGAGCCTGGGGGCAGGGGGAGTGGGTGGAGGGCAGGGGCCGAGGCAAAAGCCAAGGGGAAACGTGAACGGAACGCCTCCCCGCGCCACGAGGCCGGGGCGAGCTAGGACAATGAGGGAGGCCGGCTGGGCGCGGGCGGAGGAGCCCAGGAGGGGCGCCGGAGTGGGGGCGGGGTGGGGGCAGCCAGGCCGGGGTCTGGCCGCCAGCGCCTTTCTCACCGGCTCCTGGGTTGGAATCTGGGGGTCGCGCTCGGGGTGCCCTTCGCGGGGCCGGGTCTGGAATCTCGGGGCCCTGGGTGGGGGCTGCGCGCACCCTCCTCTCACCCGGCGCTCGGGGCTCAGCAGGGGACGCCGCTCCGGCTTGGGCAGGGCTCCCGGCTCCGGCGGCTGCGGACGGTTCCGTCCCCCATGGCCCGGCCCCGCCGCCTCCCGCCGCCCGGTCAGCGGCCACCGCGGCCCCCAGGTCGCCTCCCGCCGCCGCCGCCGCCGCCGCCGCCGCCGCCGCCGCGGGCCATGGAGCCGAGCCGCCCTGGGGGGCAGGGCGGGGCCGGGCGGCCGGGCAGACCCACGGACCGGCGAACCCACGGACCACAGCGCCGCCGCCTCCCTCCCGCGCTACGGCGCCTCGGAGGGGCAGGCCTGGCCCGCGCGCCCGCGCGCGCGCCTCCGCCTCCAGCACGCCCGCACCCGCCGCGCGCCGCTGTGAGCCCGCCCTGCCGGCGGCGGAGCCGGGGCACCCAGGAGACACGGACCCGAGAGGGGCGGAGGAAATGGGTCAGGCTTGTCCAGGGGTTGGGCTTAGAGTTCGGATCGGCGAGCGGGTGCGGACTGTAGAGCCCTTTAGCGGGGAGTAGTGATTGGATCCGAGCGTCAACTCCACAGGATGGGGGCCTGGAGGTTGGGTGGACTGAAGCTGGGGGACTAGGGGTTTGTCAACTCTTTAATTGGAGCAAGATTCAAGATCGGCCAGCAGAGAGGGGGCAGGACCCTTAAAGGCGTGGGCTGGAGGTGGCTGGGGCTTCTAAGGTAACAGGAAACAGGGTCAGGGAAGGAGAAAATAAGATTGGACAGGGTCAGGAGGAGCTCCCTAGGGCCCTGGGAACAAGGATCAGAGTAGAGGTTCCTGGGAGGGGATACTGCTGGGACTGGACTATCACTGGGGGCAGAGGCCACTGCCTGGGCTCCAGGCCTCACAGAGACGGAGATGATGATACCCCAGTGTACTGCCAGGTAAGTAGATGTGGTCAGACAACTCGGGAATGGTGGTCAGTTAGATCGCTGAGCAAAGGAGTCACAGGCACAAACACACCCAAGGGCCCATATCTGCACACTCCCTCATCCCCTCAACAAGGATGTTTGGGGGCTACAGAGTCCTCTGCCCAGCACCCTTACCTCCCTACCTAGGAGCCAGCTCTGTGCAGATCAGAGGTGTGCAGTCAGAAAGCTGACAAGGGATTGGCATGAGGCTGAGGCGTACAGGCCCCTTTACCATTCCTCTGTGAACGGTGGCGCAAGAGGACAACAGAAGCGGCACTGACCCAGACAAATACCAAGTTTATTTCACAAACACTAGGACAATGGGTTGGGGGTAGAGGTGGGGGAGACAGGTGCACAGCTGCACAGAATCATCAGCAACAGCCTGCTCCCCGCACTGAGGACTCAGCCTGGACTGCAGTGCCTCCAAGTCAACAGGCAGAGAGAGGTGAGTGCAGGGAGGGCCCTGAACACCAAGCCTCTGAAAGGCTAAGGGTTACAGCTCCAGCTGTCCCAGTTAAACCAGCAATAAATAAGAGTGAGGCACGGCCCCACCCACACATATCGTCTAGTCGCCCATCTTCACTCTGGAGGTCTGCAAAAGAAGAACAGGAAAAATGAGGCAGAGACAGAGAAATAGGTAAGGCAGTGACAAATAACAGAAGATTTAGACCTAGCACATGGTTGGATGGACAGACCACAAGAGATGTATGACTAACCAGGAGGGACATACTGTGACAGACAACCACAGAGTTAGGCTGTGGGACAGACAGATGGAGAGAAGTGACGTATGGATAAAGGTAGTCACTAAGAGTCAACCCAGTCAAGCAGCCACCGTCACACTCAGACCCTCAGGCTGATCCTTAGTCACAAACTTACACTGTCAGACTAGACACACACAATTTAGACAATGCTGTCCTACTGACAGGCATGTCACAGAGATACACATAGCTCCGAGAGACGGTCAACACCATGACAGACTGATATAAACAGACAAAATCCCATTCTAGTCTAGATCATAAATACAGACAAGAGACATGAAGAGCATGAAAAAACAGAAAGAACAGAAAGAGGGAGAGACTAAGTGAGAGCTATACAGATACAAAGCATTGGTGGTGGGGGCAAATAGGGCTGTTGTCAGTGACACCAAATCAAAGCCAAAAATAGAGAGCCCCTGCAGGAGAAAACCAGAAGATGGAAATGAGGAGGTGGAAGCTGTTTGGGGGAATCTATAGTTATAGGTAGAGAAGGAGAGCACTTCAGCTTCTCCAGAAGGAGGGTGAGGCTAGGTTGGGGACAAGGACACAGAGGCTCCCCAAGGGGATTCAGCACCTGAAGAATTGCGACGATGACCCCAAAGAGGCCAATGGCGCTGCCAAAGATCTCCACGATGAGAATCTTTACAAAGAGGCTGGGGTTCTGAGCATCGGCCAGGGCAGCCCCACTGCCCACGATGCCCACGCAGACTCCACAGAAGAGGTTAGACAGGCCTACGGTGAGGCCAGCCCCAAACATGGAGTAGCCTGGGAGGATAGAGAGGGGCACAATGAGGCTGAGCCAGGAATGGGGGAGATATGGGCTAACGGGGCTAATCCCCATCCCCACTCTGCAAAGCAGGCCAAAGTAGGTAACAGAATATTAAAATGAGGCTCCAAGCTGGGAGAGGGGAAGGGAAGCAGGCATGAAGCCCCAGCATTTTGCCTTCATATACCCATACACCCACCTGCATGGTAGTTCCGATGGCCTATGGCCTTAGGGTCCGTGGCACTGAAAGGCTGGGGGAAGAAGAAAAGTAATCAGAATGCAATCTCTAAGCAATGTGTAGAACACACGGGAATGGATTCCTGCCCCCACCCTGGCCTTCCATACCTCAGCCATGTTGCTAATGACAATTGCCATGATGATGCCATAGATGGCCACAGCCTCACAGAAGATAATGCTGGTCGTGGTAGAGGTTAGGGGTAAGGAGTGGAAAAGAGAAAGAGTTGAGAAAGAAACCATCCTTCCTGCCCAGAAAGTCCCCAGCAACCTTTCCCCACTAACATCCCATCCCACCAGGAGGCTTGTCAGAAGCAGTACTCAGATCAAACACACAGGCAGCGCCAACACAGCTGGTTCTGATTGACGTCCAAGGACGCTTACACTTACCTGACCAGGTTCTTGGTCTTGATCCTGGGGGCCTTCACCCCTCCCCCAATGATGGAGGAGCCGGTAATATAGATGCCCCTGGTGGAAGGATAAAAAACTGATGAGCAGAGCCCAAGCTGTCACTGCCCCCAACATAACTAAGAGCCCAGTGACACCACCTCTCATGACTCAGCTCCTGCCCCGAGTCCACCACCCCAGTACTCACCAGGCTGCCCCAACCACAGACAGGGAGATAGCCAGGCCAATGCCGAGGTTGGACCACATGAAGGGCGAAGTCTCCGTCAGGAACCTGTTGTGGAGGCAGAGAAGGCAGCAATTGAAGGCAGCAATTCAGCCCTGGCAGGGAAGTGGGGCACAAAATCTTAGCCCCCCAACCCTCCTTGATCCCACCAGTTCCACATGCAACAAGGGACTGCATATTTCCGAAGGTCCATGTCCCAGGCAGGTGGTGGTGTGGAAGGGGTAGGACCAGAGAGGAGAGGAGAAGCTGCAGGGAAGAAGCTTTAAGGGGAATCCTGTGCCTGCTCTCCCTTACCATGCCACATCAAAGCGGAAGCCCAAGTCAAAAATGGTGTAGCAGATTCCTGCAGCAGTGAGTAAAAAAGGAGGTTACGGGCTGCTTTGTAGAGAGAGGTTTCAACCTAAAGAAGTAGCTACCGAACTGAAGGGCCACCTCCCTGAAGGGGCGTCCTCAGGCTGCTCCCCAGGTGACAGTACAGCTGTCTAGATAGATTCCTCTGCTTAGGACTCCATTTTCTGCCACTCCCTCAGTAACACCACCTCCCAGACCAAGCTTTTGCGCAGGCAGTCGCCACCCGCAGGCCTGAATCCGAGGCGGGACGGAGGGAGCAAGCGCTCCAGCCAGTCCCCGCCAGATCTTGCCAGCCCAGTCCGTTCCGCTGTTTACCCAACAAGCTGTGGGTGGGGGAGGGCAAAGCGACCGGGAAAAGAGGAACCAGAGCAGCCGGCTTGTGACCAAGCAGGCCCGTCAGGCGCAAGAAAGGGGGGACCCCAGTGAGACGTGGGGGCGGGGGGAGACAGCGATAGTGGCAGAAGGGGGAGTGCTGCCCTCGCGGCCCCCACCTGCCCGCGCCCCTCCTCAAAGGAGATCTGGGTCTCCTTTGCCGGGGTCAGAGACACTCGCAGGCGCGCGTCCCCAGAGCCCGGGGTGCAGAGCGCGCAGGGTCCAGTATTCCCTGCAGGGTACTTTCCTGCTGGGCTCCAGCCGGGCCAGTTCGGCCGCGATGCTGCCCCCGCCCGCCATGCTGCCCCCGCCCGCCAGGGCCCGGCCTCACCCACGACCAGCGCGCAGGCCCAGAAGGCCACGAAGACTCCGGAGTAGAGCAGCGCTAGCCCCGTCATGGCGGCGACGACGGCGGGGGTCGGAACGGTGGGGCCGGAGCTACAAACGCGTCCCAGCGTCCACCGTCCGCCCCGCAGTCTGTCCTCCCGCCCCGCAGGGTCACCTGACTCGCTGGCGTCACGTGACCCCACGCTGGTCCCGGCGCAGCGCCGCCGCAGGTCTAGAACTAGGCAGCGTCGCAACCGCAGGCGCTGGGGATTGTGGTGGTTGTAGTCCTGCGTCTCGGTGGCGGCTCGGGCGCCCTCCTCACTAAGAACTTCGATATATGGCCGGTACTTCTCGAGTGTCTCCACTTCGCCCTGTCAGCCCTGTTTTATTCCGAGCCTGCTCGCGGGCCCCTAAGACCTCCACTCTGGCCACCATGCGTCCTAGCCAGTGGCGGGCGGCGCCGCGCGTGCCCTCTGCTTCATCTTGCTCACGCCGTCCCCAGCGCGCTTCTTGGCGCCAGTTCCGCTGCCTCGCTAACATCTGCCGTCCTCTGAAATGGTCCTGCCGACAGGCCTTCTCTAACCCAGTGGCAGGCGCGCCTGCTGCGTTTCCGCTTTGTCCTGGTGATGCTTATTAAGCTTCAGTAAGATGTCAGTGCCGCCGGGCGCGGTGGCTCAAGCCTGTAATCCCAGCACTTTGGGAGGCCGAGGCGGGTGGATCACGAGGTCAACAGATCGAGACCATCCTCGTCAACATGGTGAAACCCCGTCTCTACTAAAACTACAAAAAATGAGCTGGGCATGGTGGCGCGTGCCTGTAATCCCAGCTACTCAGGAGGCTGAGGCAGGAGAATTGCCTGAACCCAGGAGGCGGAGGTTGCGGTGAGCCGAGATCGCGCCATTGCACTCCAGCCTGGGTAACAAGAGCGAAACTCTGTCTCCTAAAAAAAAAAAAAAAAAAAAAAAAGATGTCAGTGCCCTGTCGAAATGCCCTGATGGCTCCCATTTCATTAAGAAGAAAAGCCAACGTCCTCAAAACGGCCTGCTAGGCTCCCGACGCCCCTCGGCTGACTTTACCTTCTAACACTCCCCGACTCTCTCCTCTGGCTGCACTGCCCTCTTTGCTATTTCCTTGAAAGTGCCAGCCATACTCCCACCTCACTGCCTTTGCACTTGCTCCCTCTGCTTCTGTCCATGCGGCTCAGCCTGTAACTTCCCTTCAGTTTTTGCTCACCTTCTTGAAAAGGCCTTCCCTGACCATTGTGTTTAATATTGCAACGCCCCCCCCACCTCCCTTAAACGCTCCTGCTTCCCAGCTTTACATTTCTCATGGTACTTACTGATCACCATTTGGCATACTAAGTATTTTATTTGTCTATCTCGCCCTGGAAGAGTGTAAGCACCATGGCTTTTGTATCACTCACTGCTGTATTTCCAGTGCCTGGCACAGAGTGTGTCCTCAGTACCTATCTATCTGTAGAAAACATGATTGATGCCCACTTTGCCCAGGTTACCTTAAGTCAGTTTACAGTTCTGCCTCCACCATTAGATTAGGCATTCCCTGAGGGCAGGGACCACATCTCCTTTGTTTACTTTCAATACCCTGGACAATGCCACTGTGATAAGATTCTCAACAAATGTGGGGAAGAAGAGGCGAGTCTTTTCATTTCACTCCTCTTCACCTTAAGCATCCATCAACCCCACTTGCTTGAAGCAGCCACCATGTTGGTTCATGCCTGTATTTAAGCCCAAATGTCTTTTTTCATTCTTCTCCTGACAATAATTTTCCTCCACAAGATCCAGCTTAGGTGTTATGCCCTCTGGGAAGCCTCCTCTCAGTCCTTGTCAGATACCTCCTGTGGGATCCAGCTGTCCCTGAGGCTTCCCTCCTCAGATAGGACTGTTTCACTGTGTGCTAATTGCATATTTAACTCTCTTTCCAAGTATACTGGAAAGGAATCTGGTCAAATACAATTAACATCTACATCCCAGGACCTGTGCAGGACCTGTAGTATTTCATGAATGAAAAAGAAACATAAAGAGAAAAGGTATCTGGTTTATTCAGGTTTCTGTGATCTCTTTGAGAAATAAATCAGAGTCAATATAGACCAACACTGTCCAACAAACAGAACTTTCAGCCATGATGGCATATCCTGTAGCTTACTGTCCCCTCATGTGGCTATCTGAACACCTGAATGACTAATGTGACTGAGAAACAGCTTTTCATCTTATTTAACCTAAGTTTAGCCACATGTATTTAGTGGCTACTGTACTGGACAGTGCAGGTCTAGTTAGACCAGTGGTTCTCAATTGAGGGCAGTTTTGCCCCCACAGGGAACATTTGCCAATGTCTAGAGACATTTTTGGTTGTCATAGTTGGGGGAGTGCTTCTGCTGTCTAGTGGGCAGAGGCCAGGGATGCTGTTCAGCACCCTACCATATGCTGGACAGGCCCCACAACAAAGCATTATCTGGCCCCAAATGTCAACAGTACAAGTTGGAGAAACCCTGGTCTAGACTGTCTAGTACTTGCCTTTTGACAAGGGCAGACCCTCAACTACAGACCAGGAACTGGGATTGGCCAAAGGTCCTGGGCTGCTCCCAAGAAGACAGATGGGTCCAGAGGCCTCAGGGATGGCCCTAAGCCCTTTATTCCACCAGACAAACAACAAGCATTTACTGAGCATGTGTTGAGCTTGTGCCAGTGCCAGCACAGGACAGAGATGGAACCTATCCTCAGTGAAGGGCTGCCTGCTCTCCCTCCTTCCAGGGTCCTTCAAGGATCCTGGCAGGGGGATGGGAGGTTGGTGAAGGGAGCACTAAAGGTCCTAGCAGCCTTTTGTAAGTCCATCTGTGTCTCCAACCCCACATGGTATCAGCCGTTTCCCTCATCCTCATAGGCGATGGCAATCCCTCGTCTTCCACTCACAGCTTCTGTCACAGGCGTCTGACCCAGGCGGGGCTCCAGTCCTTGCCAGCTCCGAGAACTAAGGAATGAGGCTGTAGAGGGAAGGGGCTCAGTCTGGGTGCGCTGCATCTAGAGAAAGAGTTCAGCTGGGGGTGAAGACTTGCACACTTACCTGCAGGACTGCTCTCAGCCAGCTCCAGCTGGGGCCGTGGGGTCACGGCCAAGCTTCCAGGATCATTTGATGACTTCCAGGCAGGTGGGGGTCGGAGCTCTCCAGTAATGAGTGACACATCTGGGGTTTCCCACAGCTCTGACTCAGGTGGTGGGAGAGGTACGTGGAAGGGAGAGCCTGAAAGGGAGAACGAAAGAAAATCCATACTCGCCCCAACTCCATGCCCCAGGTTTCCAGCTTAGGCAATGCCCCACTACTCACCAGGCAACAAGTCCGCATAATGTGTGAGGTAGGGAGCCAGGCCTGGAGGTGGCCAGGCAGGGTTGCAGGAAGCTTCCAGCTCACACGGTGCCAGGATAGGCCGGAAGAAGCTACCAGAAAGCTGGGGGGATAGGGCACCCAGAGGACATGCTAATAGCACAAAGACATCCATCTCAGGGAAGTTGGCAAGCTTGGCAGGGGTGGGCCGCCCCAGGGCCAATACATAGCTACGCTTGCCAGCAGCCTGAGTCAGGCTCCGCAAGTGGGCCAGTGCCTCACGGTGTTGGGCCACACCCAGCGTGCCTGCCAGCAGCCCTACCACGCGGGCATCTCTGGCCCTCTCTACCAGATATTGTCTTCGTGCCCTTAGCCGTCCAGCCCGGGCACCCTCATCCTGAGTCTTCCCTGTATCTGGGCAGCAGGAGGAAAAGGGTCGACCTGGTGCCCATCCCAAGAGCAGCCGACTCAGGTCTGGGTCAAGGTCCAGGTCAGGGCTGGTCTCAGAGCCCCCCACATAGAAGGCACCATACTCTTCTAGATGCCTCCCTGGGGCAAGGGGGAAGCGGCGCCCAAAACGCTCCAGGGGCTTAGGCTCTGGACTCAGGGACCCCACTGGCAGGGGAAAAGCTGGGCTGGAGACTAGCAGGTCCAGGTACCGCGGGCGCAGGAGAGTAGCCAAGGCCTCTGGAAGAGAAGGAGGTAGTGTAGAGGTTGGAGCCTGGCAAAGTAGGAGCTCCCTCATCCCCGGGAGACTAAATATGACCCAGTAGGCTAGGGCCAGGCCCATATCAAGAGCTCTATGGAAGTATATGGAAACGGGGAAATTAAGGCATAAAGCAGTTAGCTCACCCTTTGTGCATACACAGGCAAAACCCCTTACCCAGGGCATGGGCACAGGCCGGCTCACTCAGCAGCACCACAGGCGCTTTGGAGTCTGGGTTCTGGGCCTCAAAGGCCTTGACGCAGAGCTCCAAGGCCACAGAACGATGACCAAGGACGAAGGTGATGGGCAGTGGACGGGCTGGGGGGCTTAAGCAGGCAGGACCAAAATGTACAAGAGCCTGAGCTCCAGCTTGCTCAGCACCCAGTACATCCACACAGCAGCTGCAGGGGAGATAGCATCAGTGAAATGGGGTCTCTTCTGGAGGCAAGTTGCTGTCATCACTGGGAAATGTGGTCAGTGTATAAAATGGTTTCATAAAAGGAAAACATTGTCAATGAAGGGAGCTACTAGCATCAAGAGGGGAGTCATTACCATTATCATCAAGGAGAAACACCACCATTGAAGGCAAACGCTGCCATAGAGGTAAAACCCCATAAGCCCTGAGTCCCCAGGACTGGCCCACCTTAGGCCAAGTTCACACCTGCTGTAGGCTGTGTCCCCCAGAATGAACATCTTTGACCCTGTAGTCTCCTCCAATCGTGCAGCCACAGCCGCAGCATCTCCCAATAGCTGGTCAGGGAACTGCAAGGCAACCTATAAGCATAAGCCATGAAGTCAGGGACGGCCTCTCTCCCACCGAGGACCTCTTTAACGGCAATCTTCTGGGAGCTCCTACTAAACCTTCAACGCCCCTGGTCCCAGAGGGGCACTCTGCCCTACGGTGGAAGCGAGGGGTGGTCAACGTGCTGCGGACAAACCGATTCCCCCACCCCCTTGCCCTCACCAAATCCCCCAAGATCCGGATCCTCTGGGCGACCCATCCCCACAGAGGCGAACCAACCACCCTTCCCTAAGTCTGTCCTCACTCGTTCACACCCCAGATCACGGACAAATCCAGCGACTCGCTCCAGCTCGTACACTCGGTCCAGGTCCGGGAGAGGAGTGAGCAGTCCTGGCACCCCGGCCTCTCGCTGCAGCGCCGCCTCGGCAGGGCTGCTAAACGTCGACTCCATGATGCACAGCTTGGGTGATGGGATGCAGCGGGGACCTCCCTGGGTCAGCTACGGGGCCCGCGTCCTCAAGAGCAGCACTCAGTGGGTCAGAATCGCCTTGTGGAGGTAGGGGGAATCACGGTCGGCCTTCATCCGGTTGCCATCCCTTTCAGCCATCCTAGTTTCCCCGCTACACGCGGGACTACCGGGGAAGTTACTTCCGGGTTTTAGAGGCGTGGCCGATAAAGATTTTACCAATCCTAAATCAGCACGGCTCCCGCCCTCCAATCTTCGCCATCAAGCCCCGCACAGAGAACCAAGGTTCTGCCTGAATCCCAGGCCAGCCGGAAGTGTCTCGAGGAAGGCGCGGAGCCTTGTGGGCATTGTAGTTCCCTTAGCGCTCCTCTGGGGCGCTGTGAGTCCTGCTCAGTGCAGCGGCGGTCGTCAGGAACACTGACTTCACCGTTAAGCATTTATCCTCTGGGCAGTATCATTCTATCCTCTGGGCAGTATCATTTAATATTTTGTTCTTTCTTCCTTTATCTCTTTTTTTTTTTTTTTTTAGACAAGGTCTCGCTGTTACTTGGACTGAAGTGCAGTGGCGTGATCTCGACAACCTTCGCCTCCTGGGCTGAAGACATCCTCCCACCTCAGCCTCCGGAGTAGCTGGGACTACAGGCGCACGCCACCACATGCAGCTAATTTTTGTATTTTTTTTTGCAGAGACAGGTTTTCGCCATGTTGCTCAAGCTGGTCACAAACTCCTGAGCTTAAGCAATCGACTTACCTCAGCCTCCCAAATGCTGAGATTACAGGCATGAGCCACTGTTCCTGGATTCACTGCATAATTTTAAACTTGGTGCCGACCTGCTCGGGTTTGAATATTGTGCTTGGTCA